CCGCGTCGTCTTTGGGACGGTCCTGCAGGGCCCGGCGAGGGACCCCCCCCCGCCCCCCCCCCCCCGGGGAGGCCGAGAGCGGCCAGAGCACCCCCGTCGACGGGCATGCTCGGGCCTCCGACAGGGGTCACCACCCACCAAACCACCCCAACCCAACCCCAACACCCCAACATACTTATACTATATGTGCGTCGCCCCCCCAGGGGCGACGCGCGCACCGAGAAATCTTATAGTATATGCGTCGTGGCGGGCGCTTTCTGGTCACACCGCTCGGGAAACGATATACTACAAGATGGGTATACTATATGTTCGGGTCGGACGCGCGCCTCCAAGGAGGACATATAGTACTAGTATGTCTCTGTGTGTCCCAGGCGAGATGGAGCGGGTCACCGTGCTCGGCCCTTGGAGACCCAGAGATCCGAGGACACGATGCTTTCAATCCGGCGGGCTTCTCCTGGGTGTCGGCCTCCGGGGCCTGTTATCAGGCCCGGGGACCAGCAGAAATGCCTGCACGAGCGAAATGGGCACGGAAAGAACGGGTGCAATGCCCGACAGCGGATCTTGTTCATTTTGTACAGGACTCGCTGTCCGCGCCGCCGCAGCCTGTGTCCATTTGAGACAGAAGGCCGCCTACCCAACAGCGGCCGCTCGTGGTTCGGGACAACATGTGCTGTTGGGCAGTGTACCCCTTTTTCCCGTGCCCACTTCGGGCGTCCAAACAATGGATCCGGGGCGAAAGGCCACCCTCGGGGAAGGCGTTGGGAGGTTTGGGGCCGCGGGGTGAAACATTCATCTCGGCGGATATCTGGGGAGGCCCCTTTCGGGGCCCAGGGCCGTCAGACATCGGACCGGGGAGGAGGAGCCCTTCCCCCAAACAAAGGCAGGGCGGGCCCCGGCGTGAGGGGGGGGGGCACACGGGCCCGGCCCTCGCGAGGAGAATTCCGCCCCCCTGCCCCATGCACGCACCCAGCGGCCGAACAGGTATGGGGACTCGGGCGTCGTCTACTGGGGGTGTGCGATGAATGATCGGGGAAGCGCAAGGCTCGAGGAAGCCGGAACTCGGGTTCGCCGATGTCTTTTGACGAGCGCGCCAAGGATTTTGACGGTCCAGTTTTCGTGGGATGTTTGCAGCGGGAAGACGCGTCAAATTTCAGACAGGGCCTCGTCATTCTTGTGGTGGCCCCGTCGGGCCACAACCCGAGTCCCCCGTGCCCGAGTCTTATACGTCTCCCCGAGAGGAGGGTTGTGAGGAACGGCGCGCCTCTCGTGCACCCCTGGGGGGCCCGGAGAGGGGGCCGTCCGGGGCCCACAAGGGGCACGCAGGGTGCGCGCTGCGTCGCCCCCCCCCCCCCCCAACGAAGCACCGCCCGAGGGGCGGCTGGTTGCTCGGCGCGCGTTGGGGCCGCGGAGGGGGCTGGCCGATCGGGCCACGGGGCCGTCCACCAGAGCCACGCAGGCTCGACCGCCAGCTCCGGGGCCGTGGCGTCGGGAGGGGTCGCGGGGCCGACGTCTCGGAAGGAGCGAGCCGCCCGATGTCGGGTCCCCGCGGAGCTCTCTCGGGCGGCGCGGGGCCGCGCAGCGCCTGGGCCTAGCCAGACAGGGCGCCCCCCGCGAGGCGAGCTTCGCGCCTCCTCATCCTCCTGTTGCTCCCGTTTCTCCGAGGGCAGCCACCCCCGGTGGCCCTGACGGCCCGCCACGATGTCACAAAAAAGCAAGGTGCCAGCGGTGCCCCTGGCCAGGGGGGTGGGCTGCCCCTCGAATTCACGCAGTCACGAACGCAGGGGCGGGGACGATCGTGCCCGCGGCCCACCGCGTGGGACTGCTCGCAGAAAAATGCGTCGGAAACTCGTAGCCACGCAGTTGGGCCTCAAGCCTGGAGACAGGGCCAGGAGCAGAGGGACGAGAAGCGCCAGTTTTTCGAGTCGCGTCACTCAGGTAACGACACGCACCAGGCCGTGCCGCTCCGATAAGCCACTCGAGGGGCGCCACTCCATCAGGCGACCGCACACCCCCACGCACGCCAGGGCAGGGGACCTGGCCGTGGGAAGGATGGGTGTGGATCCACCATGAGCCCCCCGCAGGTGACCTGGCGACCCCCCCACCCGCCCAGGCGCACGCGGTGCACGTGCTGGGCCACTACAATGGGTGGGAGGACGTGGCGACGAGGCGCAATTGTCTCCCCCCTGGCCCCTCTGGAAACCCGAGTGGACCAAGGGTGACGAAAGGGCTGCAACCCGCCCGTTTTTTTGGACGCCGCAAGGGAACCCAGTGCCACATGTGCCTCCTCCTCCTCATCCTCCTCCTACTCCTCCTCCTCATCCGCTTCAGGTCGTCTGGGTCTTGCCCGGCTTCTGCCCGATGTCTGGGTCCCCGGAAGCGTTTCGGGGCCCCCCGAGGACCGTCAGAACGGAGCCGGAGCGACACACGCACACACACACACACACACACACACACACACAGACGTCCTCGAGGTGAGGGTCGGCGGTACGCCCGGGGGGGGGGGGGAAGCGAAAGGGGCGGGCCTTCAGAAGGCCTCGCCCCTTCTGAGAAGTCTGTCGAACCCTCCTTTGGCACGATCGCAAGGGGTACAGAAAGAATGGGTGCGAAGACTAACAGCAGTTCCTGTCCATTTCGAGCAGGGTTCGCTATTGGCGTCGCCGCGGACGTTGTCCATGTGAGGCAGAAGGCTACCTGCCAAACAGCGGCCGCTGTTGGTTTTGGGCAACACCTGTTTTTGGGCACTGTACGGTAGGTTCGTGCGGCGTTGGCGCGCCGGCGACGCCGACGAATGCGTTCAAGGTTGAATTCCACGACGCGGCAGCCCCGATGGACACGGCAACGCCTCGAGACCCGACGGGAGTCAACCTTGAACGATCGGAGTCGCGATCGATTCAAGGTTGGACGATCGACTCGGTGTCAAAAACCTCAGCGCGTGCCGACGCTGCACGAACCTGTCGTACCGATTTATTCCGTATCCACTGCGGGGCGTCCACATTCCCCGAAGTTGCAGGACATGGCTCAGAAGGCCCGCCGCCTGCTGCGAAGGCCTGCTCCCTATCACCTCCCCCTGCGCTCGACGCCGGCGGGGCCCGCTCGAGGCCCGGGGCCCGCGTCGGGAGCCTTGGGCCAGGGCGCGTCGCCGTCGGCTCCGTCGCAGGCAGGCAGGTCAGGCCCCCCGTCCTCGGCCCAGAAGGCCTGCGGCAGCCAATTCACGAGAACGACGCCGACGACGCGACGCCGACGACGACGACGACAATGACGACAATGACGACAATGGCAACGCGAGAACGACGACGACGACGACGACGACGCCGCCGCCCTCGACGACGACGACGACAACGACGACGTCGACGACAATGACCTGTGGAGTGATGGGCCAAGGGGGGCGGAGGCGGGCAGAGGGCGAGATAGCACGCGGAGGAGGGGTGGCGCGAAAAGCAGGGTCACTCGTGGGCGTGCGCAAGCTCCTTGTTGTCGACGGATCGGACGGTTGACCTCTCGCCCTTGGCGGAGGCCGGTTTCGAATCGGGGTTCGCATTTGGCCGGCTTTGTTTTTCCCCACATGCTTTGTGGCGTTCTGGTTTCCTTTCCTCCCGCGTCCCGCTTGCGACGCTCACACCTCACCTCCCTCATCCCTTCCTCCTCTTCTTTCCTCCCCTCACCCACGCGCTACACGTGCACGACACGTACATGGGGCACGCGTCACATGCAGCCGCACGTATGCACACACTCGCGCACACATCATACAACGCCAGTGCGCGCTTGGCGTGTCGATGCTATCTTACATCAAGACGTATGCGCCACATACTGGGATACGCACGTCCACATGCAGCCAGCATACACATGCACAAGACACACAGGACACAAGACACGCATGCAGACACGCGCACACGCATACCCACATTCACACACGTGTCGCGTTCCAGGGTCTGAGAGCGCGGCAGGCGTGGCACTTTCTCGACAACATAGGGGGTGCGCAGGGGGTGGTCTCTCACCGCGGCCCCTATGCGTGCCAGGGTCTGAGAGCGTGGCAGGCGTGGCACTTTCTCGACACCATAGGAGGTGCGCAGGGGGTGGTCCCTCACCGCGGCCCCTATGCGTGCCAGGGTCAGAGAGCGTGGCGGGCCTGGCATTTTCTCGACACCCTAGGGGGTGCGCAGTGGGTGGTCCCTCACCGCGGCCCCTGTGCGTGCCAGGGTCTGAGAGCGTGGCAGGCGTGGCACCGTCTTGACACCATAGGGAGTGGGTGCGCAGGGGGTGGTCCCTCACCGCGGCCCCTATGCGTGTCAGGGTCTGAGAGCGTGGCGGGCGTGGCACCTTCTCGACACCCTAGGGGGTGCGCAGGGGGTGGTCGCTCACCGCGGCCCCTATTCGTGCCAGGGTCTGAGAGCGTGGCAGGCGTGGCACTTTTTTCGACACCATAGGGGGTGCGCAGGGGGTGGTCCGTCACCGCGGCCCCTATGCGTGCCAGGGTCTGAGAGCGTGGCAGGCGTGGCACTTTTTTCGACACCACACGGGGTGCGCAGGAGCTTCACCGCGGCCCCTATGCGTGCCAGGGTCTGAGAGCGTGGCAGGCGTGGCACTTTCTCGACACCATACGGGGTGCGCAGGAGGTGGTCCCTCACCGCGGCCCCTATGCGTGCCAGGGTCTGAGAACTTGGCAGGCGTCCGTGCCAGTGCGGGAAACCCGTTTGGATTTTCTAATGTTTGCGAGTTGCGCGCTGTCGGATGCTTTTCGACGAAGATTTCGTTCCGTGTCCTGCGTGACCGAAGTGCCTGTGGCCGCCCTGGGAAAGGGAGCCTCGGTGACCTCCTCTCCCTTTGACTGGCACCGCCAACGTTATCGGCGGGGCAACGGCCACCAGCATCATTCTCGCATGTTTCAGTTCAACTGTCATCATCCCAGACATAATATGAGTATGTGGGGTTCCTCGGTAGCGTAATGTTGTACTATTCGGTCCAGGAAGGATGCAAAGGACCAGGAATGATCCCCAATCGGCATGGACTCATTATGCGCCATGCGAAAACTACCATGTGGGGGGCTCCGGAAGGTCGCCCCTCAGTTCTTCCCGGACGTGACAGTGATATTCATCGAGATATGCGGTTTCCACGGTCTGTGCGCTCAGCTGACCCCTGGAACCGTCGTCGAACTGTTGAACGTTATCTACCACGAGTTCGACCGCCTCAGCGATCTGCTTGACGTGTACAAGGTTGAGACGGTGGGGGAGGTCTACATGGCTGTCGTGGGATGCCCGGAGACCGCTGTAGCCAGCAGCTTGACGAAGAAGGAGGAAGGGGATGACGAGGTGGTAGCAGCAGCAGCAGCAGCAGCAGCAGCAGCAGCAGCAGCAGCAGCGGCGGCGGCGGCGGCGGCGGCGGCGGCGGCGGCGCTGCGGCTCTACTTGCAGGAGGGGTGGCAGCAGCAGCGTAAGCAGCAGCATCTGAACCCGCAGCGGGCACAGTGGGAGGAGCACGCTGGAGACGCGAGCCCTCCCGGCCCTTCAGGAGCCCTCCAGGGCTTCTGAAGGGCCCTCGTGGGCTCCTCTGGGCCGCCTGGCCGCCCCCAGGACCGCCCAGGCCCCCCAGAACTGCCAGAGCCAGAGCCATCTCCTCCCCCCTCCTTCGCAGCTGCAGAATTGACTTCTCTCTCGCCTCTCTCCCCTGATCGCGTGCGAAAAATGTTCCGCTCCTCTCCGCGTCCTGTTTTTTTCATGCGGGGTTGGGCCGAGTTGATCGGTCCGATGCGTTTGCACAATATGCTTGCCTTCGGTGTTTCAAACATTGGTGTTCCCGCTGCCGCGTGGGCCTCATTGTCGGATCGGCGCTGTGCTCCCGTCGTTCAGAATGGCGCTCTCGCCCTGGCACGGGCCACTTCTCAGAATCCGGGTCCCTTTTCATCGTTGTCGTTCCTACCGTTTCTCCTCCTCCGCCGTACCCTGGTCCTCCTGTTCTTCCCACTTCTTCCACTCCAGCTCCTGCTGCTGCGATTCGTCCTCATTCTCCTTTTTCATCCTCCTCCTTTTCCTCCTGCTCATCCTCCTGCGCACCCGCCGCCCCCTTCTCCTCCTCCTCCTCCTCCTCCTCCTCTTTTTCCTCCTCCTCCTCCTCCTCCTCCTCCTCCTCGTATGTACGCAACTTCCCCTTATCCGATTGCGTATAACATGATGGGATCGTCTATGGAGTTCCAGGTCGGCTATGACACTCGGTGGTTGGGTGTCCCAGCCGATGGACACGTTGCCGGGGAGTTGGCCTGCCATTCCGCTCGGGAGCCTTGAGACGAGGGTCAATGCAAACGGGGGTCAGCCAGAGCGCCCGATCTTGTAGGATCCTGCAGGGCCAGGGTCGCATTGACCCAGGCTTGGCTGCAGGATCCTGCAGGATCCTCCGCACTGACCCGGGCTTGGGCGCAGGATCTTGCAGCATTCTGCAAGGCCTGACTGTCCCGGGTCTGGCTTGACCCGGGTCAGAAGATCCCCGATCCACCCTGCCCACCTTAAGGTGCCCCGCCCGCCGCCGGCGCCCGCGGGGCGCCCGGCGCGCTGGAATCCGCGTTGCCAGCCGGGTCGGTCTTGCCGACCGACTCGCAGAGAACAAAAATCCAACAGGGAATCCAGGCCCCAGCACCTCTGAGGAGGAAGGAGGGGATTACGGAGAAGGGCGGCGAGAAGGGAGGAGGAGGAGGAGGAGGAGGAGGAGGAGGAGGAGGAGGAGGAGGACGTCTCGGTCCCCCCCCATTCCAGTAGACCTTCAAAATGGGTCCTCTGAGCCCTCCCAAGATCCACCGTGGCGAGTTGTTCGAGTTGGCGAGAACATCCAGAAACTCAAGCAAAGAAATGGAAGCGACGACGTCGACAGCGATGTTGTCGACGACGCGGTCCCCCTCCCCCTCTCCAGGAGACGCTCGTCCAAATCAGGACCCCGAGCCCCTGCCGGGGTCACCCTGGCTGGCACACGTTTCGAGTTGCGCCCAGCTGTGACCACGGGAACCTCCAAGAGCGCCCAACAACTTGTTCACCTCCTGCAACGGTGAACACGGCCAGGCCGTGCTAGGTTTCAGCATGTGTCCCGCTGCAGGCGACGAGAGCTCGAGGAACCAGAAGCGGTACAAGGGTAAATATCCGGAGCTCTGCGCGGAGCTCCGAAGGTTTATGCTCATGCAGATGCTTCTTCCTCGAGCTCTAGCCGACGTGAAGTAGCCCCGAACCCGATCCCCTCCACGCCGACGTCGCCGATGCACCGCCGACGTCTCCGAGGCCTCGGCAGGGCGGTGCGATCCTTCTGCGGCCCGGAGCTTTGGCTCAGCGCGTCGCTCGGACGGCTCGGGCCCACCGCGCCTCTGCGCGATATGCTAGCCAGCTTCCCGGTGCCCAAGCGCCAACGTCCCGAGCCTTGTGGGGGGGTGGGGGGGGGGGGGAGGGGAGGGGTGGGGGGGGGGGGGGGAGGGGGGGGGGGGGGGGGGGGGGGGGAGGGGCGGGGGGGGGGGGGGGGGGGGGGGAGAGGGGTGGGGGGGGGGGGGTGGGGGGGGGGGGGTGGGGGGTGGGGGGGGGGGGGCTGCCACCGCAGCGCGCTGAGCAGAAGTTCCCGGCCATACCCTCACAGCTCCGACCCCTATCCGGCCTTTCTCTTGGCGACGTGAGGCAAGCACCGCGCCCGGCCTGGCGATTCGATCGGTCGGCCCGCTGCTCCACCGGAGATTTGGCATCGCCCAGGCGTGTGCATGCGTCAGGCGAGGCCAGCGCCGGAAAGTCTGCACCACCTTGGAACATCCTGGATCAGATGGAGCAAGGAAGGGACACAATAATGCACGGGGAAGGGGCGTCCGAGCGACGGCAAGGAGATGATCGTCAACCACGCGGACGTCGCGGCTCACTTCGCGCTCGCGGCCCAGCAGAGCATGCTGCACCTGCGCGGCAGGCTCCGCTTCATCGCCAAGCAGGACCCCCGGGGGCCAGTGCGGGGTCTCGGTGGAGGGCCTGTCGAGACGACGGCGGCCCTCCCTGGAGTGTTCCGTCTTTGGGGGGGGGGGCCTCCTGAGGGCCTCTCGGCGCCGCCAGCCGCTTGATCGATCCGCCTCGGAACACGGACCAGAACTGACCTCGGGAGGGGTCCGGGGGGCGGATCTGCAAGCGCGCCTTGGACCGGGCGGGAGAGCGGCTCTTGTCTCAACTGGCCATCCTCCGAGGGTCATCTCCAAGGGGATCCCGCCAGGGCTGCGCGCCCAAACGGTGGGTCGCCCTGGAGGGGCAGCGTGAGCGGTGCTCGAGTGGGCGGAGGCCGAGGCATTGTTCCACGAGAGTACGCTGTCGCAAATTGCGACGCTCAAGAGTTCTGGAGTAGCGTTTTTGTCGTGGTCGACACGGCTTCCAGGAGCGGACGGGCTGACGGACTGGACTGGACGCTTTCTCGTCCTCCCCTCTTCCTTCTAAGCAACTCCTCCTCTTCGCGCCACAAGGTATGTCGGTAGGGCTGGCTGGACCTTTCGCTTTGAGAGTTCCTCACCATTCTTGGCCCTGAAGCTTGATATGTTCAACGGTAGTGCATCGGATGAAGGGCGGGCAGCGTTTCAAGAATGCCGTTTTCGCGTCCATCCGCGCACCCTTTGTCCTGAAAGCCACCAGCAGTTCCACGCTTCTGGAGCCGCTCGCTCTCCTCTCGTTGTCCCTTTCTCGTCCCTTCGCCCTCCGCCTCGCGGATGTCTGCAGCTCGAGCAGTCTTGCCCGTCGTCCTGCCTTCCCGGGGCCTCGCCCCTCGAGCGGTCGAGGAGCCGCCCCTCCTCCTCCTCCTCCTCCTCCTCCTCCTCCACCTTCTCCTCCTCCTCCCCCTCCCTCCTCCTCCTCCCCTCCTCCTCCTCCTCCTCCCCCTCCTCCCTCCTCCTCCCCCTCCTCCTCCTCCTCCTCCTCCTCCTCCTCCTCCTCCTCCTCCTCCTCCTCCTCCTCCTCGGCCAACCCGGGCCAGCACTTCGAGCAGTCCTGCCCCTCGTCCTGCCCGCACCTCTCTCTCTTCGGCCGCCCGGGGCCGGCCGCGCCGCCAGAGTGAGCTTCCACATTGCTGCACGCCCCCACCATGAAATTCTAAACGGGCTCGCTCCGGGGGCGGGGTCTACACCTTAGGCGATGCTTAAGAAAACTTAAGTTTTCGGCCAGAGTCTCGATTATTCTTAATGTTTCAATGTAAATCTTGAGATTTTAACGGAAACGTTGGGTTTTTATTCAAGTTCTGAGACTACGAATTTCTTAACCCATGATTTCTTAAGCATTTCGCAGGTAGGGTGATCCACTCCTTAAGTTAGAACTTTATTGCGGAGAGCGGGTGGTGCCTGGTTGGGGCGATTCTGCTTCGGAGGTCCTCAAAGTCTGCCTGGTTTGGGCCCTGGTTTGGCCTGGCTTGGCCCGGTTTGGCTTGCTTGGGCGGCGCAAGCCGCTTGAGATATTCTCCGAGTTTGCTTGGTTTGGCCCCTGGTTTGGCCTGGTTTGGACCTGGTTTCGCCTAAGACGTCCTCGTAATTTCGCTGGTTCGGCATGGTTTGGGCTTGGTTTCGCTTGAGGCTTGAGACGTCCTCGCAGTTTGACTGGTTTCGCATTGACTTCGCCTGATTTGGGCCCGGCTTCGCCTGAGACGTCCTCGCAATGTGCTTGGTTTCGGCGCGGTTCCGCCTGAGACGGCCTTGCAATTTGCTTGGTTTCGCATTGGTTTCCGCCTGGTTTGGGCCCGGTTTCGCTCGAGACGTCCTCGCAATATGCTTGGTTTCGGCGCGGTTTCGGCTGAGACGTCCTTGCAATTGGCTTGGTTTCGCCTGGTCTGGGCATGGTTTTCCTGGGGACGTCCTCGCAATCTGCTTGGTGTGTTCTGGTTTCGGCGCGGTTCCGCCTGAGACGGCCTTGCAATTTGCCTGGCTTCGCTTTGGTTTCGCCTGGTGTGGGCCCGGTTTCGCTTGAGACGTCCACGCAATTTGCCCGGCGTCGTCGTCGTGGGGGGGCCCGGAGGCTCCGAGACACACTGTATGTTGTCGCATGGCGCAGGGAAGTGAAGGAATCATTCATTCACACACGTGGTGTGCGTAGACACTCGGAGCTTATGTCCCCTGGCTGTTCCCAGGACGCATTGGGTGTTGTCGGTGTGTGTATGCCAGCGAACTGACGTTTCACACACGTCGCGGGTGCAAACACGCGAAACGGGACGGAGTGTATTGAACAGATGCTGGCCCACATTCTGCAGTGCTGTGCTACAGCACAACAGGGGCAGTGGGTGTGGACATCCGAAGCGCAGTGTGTTCGGCCGCTGTATCACATGGTGCAGCCTTCGCTCACACGAATCCTCCTGCTACGCGGCACTGGACCACGTGGCGGCGTTCGGAGAAGACCTCTCCCAGCCTGCAGGGCCGGGGAGCAGGGGGGGGGAGAAAAGCAGCCGCCGCGGAGGCGGCGGCGCGCGCGGCCTCTCGGAGCGCACAGCGCGGGAGCGGGCGCCGCCCCTCGCCCATCTGGGGGGCGGGGGCGGTGGGCAGCGGAGGGGTGGCAGGGGCGAGCGGCGGGTGCGGCAGAGCCTCCCCCGGAAGAGCAGAGCAAAAAGTCGGCACAAGCACAAATCAGTGTTCGAAGGTCCGCGCGGCCTCGAAAACGTGTCTGCTTGGGCAGCGCTTTCTTCCTCTATCCTCCGCCGCTGGGGCACCTCCTCCTCCTCCTCCTCCTCCTCCTCCTCCTCCTCCTCCTCCTCCTCCTCCTCGTCCTCATTATCCTCCTCCTCCTCCTCCTCCTCTTCCTCCTCCTCCTCCTCCTCCTCCTCCTCCTCCTCCTCCTCTTCCTCATTATCCTCCTCCTCCTCCTCCTCTCCTCCTCCTTCTCCTCCTCCGCCTCAGCGCATGCTCGAAGGGGGAGGGAGGATACGGGAAGCGCAGGCAGACAAGCGCGGACGATCGATTTCGATAATCAGAAAGTGCGTTTATTCGGAGACAAGAGGTGATGGTAACCGGCGGAGGCCACAGCATGAGAAACCCGCAGTTTCTTATAGTTGGTACCGTTCTGAACTTCTTCGCGACCAGCGTCTCCCTCGACCTTCAGGGAGACAGTGTCCAGCGACGCGTCTCAAAATGAGCAGCAGCGCCAGGGCAACATTGAGATCGAGCAGCGGTGTAAGGTATGCGGATTCGGCAACAACTTTAGGCGGCACACAGACATGCTGCAGCATTGTTGTGCATTGAACGCCTCCTCGATCCCGAGAGCGCGAGCAGTTTCGGCCAGCTGGACCATGCAGAGTAGGACGGCTGCCGCGTGGGGCGCGCATCTTCCCGAGGCCAAGCTCATCCCCTTGCGGGTGCCCGACTCGTCGAGCTCATCCCGAGAGCGAGGGGCGAGGAGGGCAAGCAGGGACTCCGACCGAGGGCAGCATGGTCAGGAAGGTGAGCAAGAACCGTCGGCCCGCGCGGCCATATCGCTGAGACGCGGGCGGCCATCAGCTCCCAGCAACACGCTGAGATGCATAGCATCCCGATCTCCAGGAATTGCAGCGGCAGAAGCTCGACAGCGGTCGAGGCCCAGGCTAGACAGCCTCGTGCTCATACTATGCTTTCGAACGGGTTCCGTGGACATTGAAAATGTCACCCTGTCGTATCCCCCGATCCTCCTCCTCGTCAGCCTCCTCGCCTTCCTTCTCCCTCGCCCCCCTCGTGCTGCGCCTCTCGTCATCGTCGTGTTCCTCGTTCTTCTGGTCGTCCTCGGCGCCATGGGCTCTTGGAGGAGTGGCCCCCGTCGTTGTCCTCTTCGCCACCCCTACCCCTGGAGGAGTGTGATGGCGCCGACGAGACCAACAGCCGTGGCTCGGCCGACAACGAGGACTCGCCAGAGGGGCTTGACATGACTGGCGCCCCCCTGCCTCCTCCAGGAGGAGATACTCCCCTCCCCCTCCTCCACCCCCGCGCCCGATCTCCCGCCCCCCCCCGCCTCCCCCCCCCCGTCATCCTCTCCCCCGCCCCCGCACGCATCCTTTCCCAAACCTCTCCCATGCCGCCTCCTCTTCGTCCGCTCCGCCCTCTTCCTTCTCCTCCCCTGCCCCTCCGGCCCCCGCTTGTTCCCTTGCCCCCCGCCGCCTCCTCCGCCTCTTCCTCCTCGCCCTCTCGCATGCATCACATCGTCCTCCTTGTCAGCCTCCGCCTCCTCATGTTCCACCTGCCCCCTAACCCTCGCCGGCTCCTCTCGTTCCTCTCCTCATCATCATGTCTTCCCTCGCACACCTTCTTTCTATTCTCATCCGGTTCCTGCCCCTCCCCATCTTCACCATCCGCTTCCATGTTGTTTCAGCACTGACACCAGGTTCCGAGGTGTCCTTTTCCCCCACGCCGTTCCCGTCCTTCCCACTCCTCCTGGTTTCCTCCCCCCACCCCACCCTGTGTGACCTATTCCGCCTCCACCTCCCCCCATCCTCCCCCCCGCCTCCCTCCCTCTCCTCGTGCCCTTTCCCTTCGTCGCCCCCGTCCTCCAGCTCGCGTCTCCCATCCCCCTGTCCACCCCAGCCCTCATTCATCTCCCCATCACTCTCCTCCCCTCTCCTGCGCTTCCTCGGGATCACCCGCAAGGCGCGAACGCGAATGTCGCGTCGCGCTTCGCGGTCCGTTCCGACCCTCTCCAGGATTGTGGCGCGAGGGCGCGAAGACACGTACAGCCTCGCTCCCCCCGCGGCGCGAAGCGCGAGCGTAGGAGACCAAGCCGCCTTCGCAAGTCCCGCGGTGAGCACGGAGAGGGTGTCCCTGATGAACAGGCGGGGCACTCCGGAAGCGGGTGGCCATGCCCATCGAGCCTTGGCCACTCTGCGACGACTCGGCGTGTACGAAGTTGACGGCTTTCGTCGTGGCAGCTCCAGAGGAGCCGGCTGGGGCTGAGGCAGCAGAGCTCGCGCGTCGCACGCTTGGCGACTGGTTCGGGGTGAGCCCTGGACAGGCAGGACCCCCAAGCTCTTCGAAGGCCGCCAGTGGCCAGTGTGTCCCAAGTCCAGGTGCCCAGCGAACGGAGCGTACGGAAGGCTGTTCATTACTCGTGCTGCTGCAGGTGCGCGCTATCGGCGTGGCCTTGAACACGGCAAGAGGAGGCCCCTGCACATGGCATGTTTCAACGGTCCACGGTGGCCTCGGCGCAAGGGATCTTCTTGGCAGTGCCTCGCATTGCTCCACTGCTGCGGCCCAGGATTTGCACTGGCACGACAACTCCAGTATTTGTGAGAATGCCGCAGTAGAACAAATTTTGGAAGGTATTCTTCATGGACGCGGTGACGCCAGAGATCGGCAAGCTGGAGGGGCCTACGCATTCGGAAGTTGATCGGGCTTTACGCCTCTTTCGGGGCTTATCCCCACGCACGTGCTCGCACGGACCTTAAATGGACAGGCCCTCGCGGAGGATTTGTTGTTGGTTCGGTCTGCTTGGACCACAGCCTGAATGTCGGTGGTGCCAATACGTCACGGCTGTCTCGTTCAGAAGCACACCTCCGCTACTATGGGTTGCCCTGTGCTGTTGGTGGTGATTTGAACGTCTCGCCTGGTGTCCTGAGTATGCCATGCGTGTTCTCTCTCCTCTCTCTCTCCTCCCTCTCCTCGCCTTTCCCACCATCCTGCCCATCACTCCCCGCCCCCCCTGGCGGCCCCTTCGCCCCCCCCTTCGCCCCTCCTCTCTTGATAAAGAGTGCAGGGGCCTTTGAAGGAGTTGAGGCCCATCCCCGAGGTCTCCCCGAGCCGCGGCCCCCAGGGGCCCCGACCCCTTCGCCAGCCAGGGGTCCTGGCAACACCGCTGGCTCATAAGATAGGTCGTCGGAGATCTGGGGGGGCCCTGTCCATGAACCCAGACCCCATCGCGTTGTTGAAAAAGACACGACGGGAGGTTTCCTTATTTTCGGCCTCTGGAAACCCTTGCTGGGCCTCGGGACCGTCAACAAAAGGATTCAGGACGAAAAATTGGTCCCGGGGAATGGGTCCAGGCCTCTGGGGGTCGACGCTATGAAAAAATTAGGACGCCGGGGGTCTGGACCCCCCGTCCTCCTCTGTACGGCGAAGACCCTCCGCATGCAGGAGGTGCTGAGCGAACAGCACGCACCCATGCACCCACAAGGGGGACGGAGGGAGCTATGGGTGCGCATTGTCGGATGATGCTCCCCGCTCGAACGGGAGCCCCATCCGGGGTCCGACAACCCGCACCCAAACCCATAGCCAGTCCTCCTCCCTCCGACCCCCGCACCCAGACCCCCGACGTCGTGATTCGCTCATGGCGTGAACCCTCAGCGGTCTGGCCCCATGCCCTGGAACTGGTTTCTCATCCCGAGTCGTCTCTTGACGGTCCCGAGGGCCGGTGAGGGCCCCCAGAGGCCGGAAATGTTGAAGACCTTCCGCCATGACTTCTGCCATGGCCCGACGAGGTCTGGGTTGAAGTCGGGCCTGTCCCCCTACAGGGGGATTTTCGACGAAAAATATAAGATACCCCACAAATAATCAAAGAATAGTCCAAAAATAGTCTGGGGACTATTTTTTAGTATGTTTTGTCTTTCTGGTGCATTTTGGGGGTATTTCTTATTTTTCGTCGAAAATCCCCCTGTAGGGGAGACACGCCCGACATAAGTCTGGGTGTGGGTGTGAGCGCGTGCTGCCCATTAATACGGTTACCAGCCTCGAACGTATCCCTATCCCCAAGAGTGACACGCCAAAAGGCGATGACGATCTTGGGGATCCGCCCTCAAAAAATGAGGGAATCCCTAAGATTGGCATCGTGAGGAGGAGGTGCCCAGCATAGGGATAGGGATGCGTTCCAGGCTGGTACTGAGGAGGCGCCCCGGGACCCGGCGCCGCCCCCGGACCCCGCAGCGCCGCCCAGCCCGCCGCCGCCCAGCGGCGAGGGCCCTGGCCCGCCGCCGCCCTCCGGGCCGCCGCAGGCCGCGCTGCCGCCGCCGCCGGCCGCGGAGCCGGCAGGGGAGCAGGCCGCGCGCTGTTTTACTGTTATGGCGGGCCTGTCCCCCTACAGGGGGATTTTCAACGAAAAAGTAAAGATACCCAACAAAACCCAAAAATTGTTTTTTTTTTTTTTTTTTTAAAAAAAAATGGGGACTATTTTTTGAATATGTTGTTGGCCTGTTTGGGGCATTTTGGGGGTATTTTTTTATTTTTCGTCGAAAATCCCCCGGTAGGGGGACACGCCCGACATAAGTTTACTGAGCTCCAGCATGTTGGCCTGCATCGGATGCTGCCCCCGCCGCCTCCTATACTCACCACCTTCTCCGCCGCCTCGTGGAGCCCTGCTGGGCCGAAGCGGCGTGCCAGCGGGTTTCGGCCTGCATGGAGTCCAGAGTTCTTCCCGGGCCTCGGCAGGCCTCCGTCCCTCCCCCTCCATGCAAGTAAACTTGCCAGAGCCTGAAGCAAAACGGTCTCCAGGTCGCGGAGCCGGCCGCGGAGCCTCCGCCAGAGGACCTCGTCACCTCGTCGCGGATCGTCGGCCGTGATCGCCGCCGTCGCCGTCCCCTCCCTTGATATCTTGGCGCTGCAACTGGTTCACAACGGGACTTGTCGCCTTGCTTCGGGTCCTGGGGCCCTCAGAGATCGATCGGGCTCGAAAAATGAGGCAGAAAGACAGGGTCCAGGTGTCCGGTGGTGATTTTTTGCGATGCTACAAGTTTTTGCGATGCCACATTTGAGGGTCGTCGGCCAGTCGCATCGTGGTCGCCGCCGCCGCCGCCGGTTGGCCGCGACGGTCGTCATGGCCAGTCGTCCTCGTGGGTCGGGCCGTCGTCTTCGCTGGTCGGCCGCGACGGTCGTCATTGCCGGCCTTCGCCGTGGGTCGGGACGTCGCCGTCGCTGATGTCGCGGGTTGGTGCCGTCGTCGGTCGGTCCGTCGTGGTCACCGCCGCCGTCGCCGTCGTCGGTCACTCCGTCGTCGGTGTTACCGGTCGGTCGGTCCGTCTTTATCGTCGGCGCCGCAGTCTTCGTCTTTGGTCGGTATGCCGTCGTCGCGGCGTGGGCGCACGAGGCTCAGAAAGGCCTCCCGGCGCCGAACAGCGTGCCTCCCGCAGAACTTCCCCGGAGCCGTTCGCTTGGCGAAGCAGGAAAAAGGCAACACACGCGCACTGGCGATGATGTTTCTATGCTCGGCCATGGCTCTGCAACCTTTGCTGTAATTACTCTTGCTTGCTCAGCGAGTTCGAGCAAAACACTACTGTGTAAAATGTTCTGCCTTCTGTCAACGTTGTGGCGCTGATGCCGAGAGGACAGTAAGACAATACATCCACCAACCAGCCCCAACCAACCAACCACTATCGAGTCATTTTCCTGGTGAAGCCCAGACATGCGATGGGTCTGGGCCTCTCCCTCGGGGCCGGTTCTTTCTCCTGTCGACTTTGGACGGTCCTGGGGCCCTGCGAGGGCCCCCAGAGACGAAAACTGCGACAAACATCCGCATCGAGCTTCTTCTCTAGGCCTCCCAGATGGGGTCCGCGCAGATGGGGTCGGGGGGCGGCGCATCGCCGATGCATCGACGATACGGCTCGATGTGGAGCCGGAGTTTTCCCATGCCGATGGCGCCGATGCACCACCAACGTCGCCGCTGCATGGCCGATGCATCGCCGATACTCAGAGCGTGAATTACCTACCCCGCTTTCGCTTCCAGGCAAAACCAAGCCATACCACGCGCCTCCTCGTCAAGCGGCCTGACCAGTACAGGCTGCAATTTGGCATCGTTTGGTATCTCTTGGAAGCGAGGGTGGTCAAAAGCGAGGTAGGTTTGTTTTCCCCCTAGATACATGGCCGATGCATCGCCGATGCATCGCCGATGCATCCGCGATGCGGCGCGATCCTCCGACCCCATCGACTCGCACCCCACCTGGGAGGCCTCTACTCTGTCGAGACGGTGGAAGCTGACGAGAAGGTCACAGAGTCCAAATACCATCGCAAGTAGCTCCGCCAGGACAACCCTCAGATCCGACGTTGCCAATGCAATGCGACATCGCGAAAGAATCACCACCGACGCCCCAAGCCCCAGCTTCCTGTATCGTGTTTCGAGCCGGATCGACGTGCGAGGGCCCGGTGAGCCCGAAATCGGGCGAAAGCCCCCCCTGGGAAAGCATTGCAGCGCGAGGGTCTCGGGGGAGGCCGAGTGCCATCGCAGGGTATCAGAGCCCCGAATCATCAGGGGTAACTCGGGTCAGGGATAACTCGGGTTCGTTTTTCGGGAATCCAAACCCGAGTTACCCCGGACCCGAGTTACCCCGGATAACTCGGGCGTCCAGAGCCCCGAATCATCAGGGGTAACTCGGGTCAGGGCTAACTCGGGTTCGTTTTTTGGGCATCCAAACCCGAGTTACCCCGGACCCGAGGTACCCCGGATAACTCGGGCGCCCAAGGGTAGCTCTGCTCGGACAGCGCGCATGGCCGCGGTCAACTCCCAGGCGGACACACCAGGATCTCTGTGTTTCACGATGCGGGCGTGCCTGCGACCGTCCCGCCCGGCGAGCGCCCCGCTTCGGCTGGTCGTCGTCGTCGTCGTCGTCGTTGTGGTGGTCGTCGTCGTCGTCGTTGTGGCGGTCGTGGTCGTCGTCGTCGTGGTCGTGGTCGTGGTCGTGGTCGTGGTCGTGGTCGCCGTCGTCGTCGCCGTCGTCGTCGTGGTCGTCATCGTCGTCGTCGTCGTCGTCATCGTTATCGTTATCGTCGTCGTCGTCGTCACCATCGTCGCCACCGTCGTTCGCCGCCATCGGCGTCTGGGTCAGCGTCGCCGTCGTCGGCGTCACCGTGCCGAGCGTGCCCGCGAACCCCCGCGCGGCCACCCGCCAGGAGCGCCCGGCCGAGGCCGTCGCGGCGCCCGCCGCTCCGCCCGCCGGCTCGGCGGCGGCCGCGGCGGCCGTCGGGGACGTGGGCTCCAGGACCGCTCCACCTCCTGCCTCCTCCTCCTCCTCCTCCTCCTCCTCCTCCTCCTCCTCCTCCTCCTCCTCCCTCCCTCCCTCCCTCTCCCTCCCTTCCTCCTCCTCTCCTCCTCCTCCTCCTCCTCCTCCTCCTCCTCCTCCTCCTCCTCCTCCTCCTCCTCCTCCTGCCTCCTCCTCCTCCTCCTCCTCCTCCTCCTCCTCCTCCTCCTCCTGCCTCCTCCTCCTCCTCCTCCACCTCCTCCTCTTGCCTTCCCCTCCCCCCGAGGAGGAGCAGGCCTCGTAGGTTGGGTCCGAGTAGGTGGGGTTGAGGCACCCAGACTCCCTCGAGCCATGGACGAACCACGGCTGGAGGTTTCTGTCTCTATTGTCGGCCACTGGGGGCCCTTCCTTACCAGGTTTCGGGACCGTCACAGAATTGCTCAGTCTGAAAAAAAAACCTCCTCTTCCTCCTCCTCCTCCTCATCATCGTGCTCCTCCTCCTTGCCCCCACCCCCCGAGGAGGAGCAGGCATCGTAAATGGGGTCCGAGTAGATGGGGTCGAAGCACCCAACCCCCCTCGAGCCATGGAAAGATCACGGCTGGAGGTTTCTGTCTCTATTGTCGGCCTCTGGGGGCCTTTACCAGGCTTCGAGACTGTCAAAGAATTGCCCGGTGTGAAAAACCAGTCCAGGGGAAGGGGTCCAGACCTCTGGGGGTCGACGCCATGGAACAATTATCACGTCGGGGGTTCGGGGTCAGTAGATGGGGTCGAAGGATCGCTCCGATGCGGCTCGATGCGGAGCCAGATTGTCTTTACGCCGATGGCGCCGACTCCTCGCCGACGTCGCGGATGCATCGGCGATGCATTGTCGATACGGCGCTGTCGTTTGGCCTGGGGTCGCCAGGGAAAAAGACGATGAGCATGACCAAGGTGGCGCGGGATCCTGTCAACGCCAATCACGGCCATGCTCCATGCCGGCCGTCGCCGATTCGCGAGAAGATGTTCCACGAATTGACGATGACCAAGATGAACGAGGACCAAGATCGACAACGACGTTTCCGCATTCAGTCTTGGTCATGGTCACTGGTCACCGTCTTCCTTCCCTCCAGGAGATCTGGGGTCGCAAGGGCCCAGACCTCCCTTCAGATCCGGGCGTTGCGACAACGAGTCGTGACGGCCGGTTCTTCGTCGCCTTCGGCTTCTCTGGAAGCCGCTCCCCGGCCCCGGGACACCACGGCCCAGGACGAACAGCCGGCCATTCGGGGTTGGACAGAACCCCCACCCTGACACGTCGATTAGGGAATTGTCCGTTTTCGGTTCTCCAGAGGGCGCCGCGGCCGTCATTTTCCAGGCTAGCGCCCGCCAGGTTTGGGCCCGAGGTCGTTTTCACTAAACCACGTTTTGCTAAAGTGGGTTCTGTCCATCCCCGAGCCATGGGGATGAGGTCGAGATCCCATGGGGGCCGATGTCGAAGGAGAAGGAGGACGGTCGTGGGAGAAAAAAGCGTGGCGGGAGATTTTTGTTCGCCGTGTTCCGCCCCTGGGGGGCCCTGCCCGGCCCGGGGGCCCTCCAAAAAACAGCTCAGGATGAGAGCAAACATGTCCCTGGGAATCGAGCGACGAGAATTATGCACATGCACCGATCCTGGCAAGGCCCATTTTTGACCCAGGATCGGTGCATATGCCTTCCTGGCCAAGGTAGGAGGACGTATGCACCGATCCTGGGCTCAGGATGGGCCTGGCCAGAATCGGTGCATGTGCATAGTTCTTTTTCCTCTAGGGAAGGGGTCGGGACCTCGAGGGCCACGCGGCGCAAGTGATCGTTTTTGTTTTTCGTTGTTTTGCCGATCGGCGCGGGCCCTCGCATCCCCCCCCCGCCCCCATGGAGTAGATCTTGGCGGTCTGGGGCGCTTGTTTCGAGCAGGTGAAGTCTCCCCCACAGGACACACTGCTGCAAGCAATCGCCTTGAGCGAATCAGACCCCCCTTCCCCTCGCCCTTCCGCCCAATGTCGAAACGCCGAATGAACAGCGTTCACCAAAAGAACGTGACGTCGGAGGTCTGAGGATCGCGAGGGTCGAGAATCGCGGAGGCTTAGAGTCCCGAGGGTCGCGAGGCTTGTGAGCGCCCTTTGATTTCTTTGTTTCTCACGGGGCCTGGGGGTCCTCCGGAAAGCCATCAAGCGTCCACGAGCCTTGATCCTCGCTCTTCGACGCCGAGGCCCAAATCCGCTCAAGATCTGTCTTCGGATCGCTCGTGGGGTCCATCCTGGCGACCGGTTTCTGATGATCTGGGGCCCGAAACGGGTCTCCAGCGGCAGAAGATTACGAAGAACTTTCTCCCAGACATCCAATGTTTTGATTTTCTCCATGCGGGGTCCTTGGCAGACCTGGCTCTTGAGGTAGTTTTTATCCCGAGTTATTTTTGACGCTCCCCGGGCCTGGGGAGGGCCCCCGGAGACCAGAAACGACTCAGAATTGCATACGGCTTCCCGTCGTGATCTTGTCACGACGCGAGCATGTCTGGGCCGATTCCTTCGATCCCTCGATCCTCCTCACGCCCCTCGAGCAGGCCGGGCGATGATGGGCGAGGGAGGGGAGGGATGGGGGCCGGGGGCGGGCGGGGCGCGTCTCCGCGAGGCTCCAGGTCCGGATCGGGCTGAACTCGGGCAAGATCCGCGCGGGGGTCGTTGGCCTGGCGGCGCCGCGATACAAGCTGGTCCTCCTCCTCCTCCTCCTCCTCCTCCCCCTCCTCCTCCTCCTTCCCCTCCTCCTCCTCCTCCTCCTCCTCCTCCTCCTCCTCCTCCTCCTCCTCCTCCTCCTCCCTCCCTCCCTCCCTCCTCCTCCCTCCCTCCCTCCCTCCCTCCCTCCTCCTCATCCCTCCCTCCTCCCTCCCCAATTCTCCTCCCCCCCTGTTTCTCCTCCTCCTCCTCCTCCTCCTCCTCATCATCATCATCATCATCAACAACATTATCCTTTTCCTCCTCCTCCATCTTCTTTTTCTGATTCGTATTATGCTTACTACTATTATTATTATTATTATTATTATTATTATTATTATTAGTATTATTATTAGTATTATTATTATTATTGTTATTGTCATTATTAGTATTATTAGTATGATTAGTATTATTATTATTCATTATTACTACTACTACTACTACTACTACTACTATTACTATTATTATTTTCATCAGTATTATTATTGTTCTTATTATTATTAATATTATTATTCTTCGTATGAGTAGTCTTATTATCAGTATTAAAATAATCAGTATTATCATGGAATTTGGTTATTCGTATTACTAGTACTATTGTTATTATTATGTATCTTCTTCTTCTCCTCCTCCTGCTCCTCCTCCTCCTGCTCCTCCTTCCTCCCTCCCTCCCTCCCTTCCCTCCCTCCCTCCCTCCTCCTCCTCCTGCTCCTGCTCCTGCTCCTCCTCCTCCTCCTCCTCCTCCTCCTCCTCCTCATCATCATCATCATCATCATCATCAGTTCGGTTTCGGCCTCTTTCTTCTCTCGCCCCGAGCCATCGTCGTCTCCTCTCATACTGTCAGGGGGGACGTGGACGCGGCGAGCCGTCGCTGTCGGAGGAGGTGCGGGGGAGGAGTTCTCATCCTCCGGGCGGGGGGGGCACCCTGAACGCGACCAGCCTGTCTCCTCCTCCTCTTTCTCCACCTCCTCCTCATCCTACACATACACATACACGGCCTACAGAGAAGCTCATCAAACAGAGTTCGAGGCCTCCTGATCTCCTCCGCATCCTCCTCCTGTTCGTCTTCCTCCTCCTCCTGCTCCCTCTCCTGCTCCTCCTCCTCCTTCTCCTCCTCCTCCTCCTCCTCCTCCTCCTTCTCCTCCTCATGGATGTTACTCCTCCCCCTCCTCCTCCTGCTCCTCCTCCTCCTGCTCCTCCTCCTCCTCCTCCTCCTCCTCCCGGTGGGGGATACCGTGAACACCGCGAGCCGCATGGAGAGCACCTGCGTGCCAGGGCGGATCCAGGCGCCCATGGAGCGAACGCCCGTTTTTTTTCTTCCCTCCCCTCGACGAAGAACATGGTGAGCATGAGGAGGAAGAGAAGGAGGAGGAGGAGGAGGAGGAGGAGGAGGAACACGACCGATTCTCCGAGGTCTCTTCATTGCGTGCCCACCCTGCTGCCGGCCCCTGCTCGTCCTCGTTGTCCCCCGCCCCCCTCTTCCCTGATGGATCCACCTCCTTATTCTCCCCCCCTCCCCCTCGTCGCACTCGAAGGGTAGGTCCTCCTGCTGCCTTGCTTGTTTCCCACCTTTGCTGTCCCGCTGCGCTGCCTTGGCTCAAGGCTTGATCAGTGCACCGTGCCCGCCCTAGATGCGCCTTGGCCCATTTGCACTTACTGTACATTCCGGCCTAATCAGTTTACAGAAGCCAGTTTCACATCTGCATCCTCATTTCTAGTTGGTAGCGGAGCAGGTCCACACCTGCTCCAACCATGGCCGCCATGTCTCGCATCGCGTCGACCGCAATTATTTCCGCCTTCCGCCGCCAGCGGCTTCGGTCAGCCGCCGTCAACATATACGCCTTCGTGCAATTCCCTCTACACCCCGGGACCTGACCCTTCGCCTCGCCGACTCAGACCCGCCAGCCGGGCAGGACGGGATCCCGACGCGCACTCCTCTATAGACGATCGTGCAATTGGCGGTGCTCAGTACATGGACTACACGACGTACGAAGAGCATTCCCGTGATCATCCGTGATTGTGTCGCAGGATGCCCCGAGTGCCGTGAGCACCACGGTGACACGACGGAAGTAGCCGCCCAATACGCTGACGAGGAGGAACACATCTGGGGCAAGTACCCTCGGCGACTCACGCACGGACTTGGGGCGGACTTTGGAGCGGCAGCTGCGAATTATGAGAGGCTTCGAGGACCTGGTCGGCGAATGGCCCAGGAGGCACCAGGCCATCTTCGCACAAAGGCCGAACACAGACGTCAGCAGGGAGGTCGCCAAGGCCGCCAAGTGCGACGTGGAACTGTTCGGGCGGCTAATCACACCAGAGGGGCGCGGACAGCTGTGGGAGGGGGCGCTGCAGCTCAGCACGCTGCAATGAGAGCAGCTAAGACAGCACTCTAGCCTTGCAGCGGCCAGCGTGACGAGGCCGCTGGGGCGGGGGGGGGGCGAAGACCGCGGGCCAGGGCGGGCAGATCTCCGAGGAGGAGAGCGCGTCAACGACGCCGCCATCATTTTGAGCCACGGCTCAGCCTGGCAGAAGGCTCTCTGGGTCAGCCGCGGTCCCCCGCGGGGGCCACGCGCAGGGCGGGGCCAGCGGGGCGCCATGGCAGCCGGCGCAACAGGCTGCGTGGGAGGGCCGCCCCCCTTCAGGCGGCAGCTTTCAGCCAAGGGCCGCTTCGGAGGAGGAAGAGGAAGGCGACAAACGCAGAACAAGCGCAGCGGCGAACGGCTCCCCAGCCGCCCAGCCACAAGAGATCAGGGGTCGGACGACCTCGAAGGGCGGGGGATTAGCGGCCGATCGAGCGGCCCACCGCCCAACCTGGGAGGCGGAACCTCACTTGGAGCCGCTCAGAGAGCAACGCACGTTGGGCACGAGGAGACGGGCGCGAAGATGAGGATCGCCCCCGCCACAGCGCGCAGCCGCTCAGCGGAGGTCAGCGAGGTGCCCCACGACCGCCGTCACCTCGGCCCGCGTCGGGCGCCTTTGGCAGACGGGCCCGCGCGCACGGGGCACCTGCGCAGGTGGCGGCGGGCACCAAGGAGGGAGCTCGCGCAACAAAAAGGGGCTAAGAGTTGGCGTTGAGGTGGCCGCGGAGGGCAGCAAGGCGCCCCACGGCCACCACATCCTCGGGTTGCGTCGGGCCCACTTTGGCGGGGCGAGCCCACGCCGGGGCGGCGTTCGCGCAGACGGAGGCGGCCGAGGGCCTCAGCGCGACGGGGGCCGCGGCGCGGTGAGACACGACGGCCGTCGAGGAAGCCAGGGGTCCCCGCCTAGGGCGGGCCAGGAGGAGGAGGAGGAGAGGGAGGAGGAGGAGGAGGAGGAGGAGGAAGGAGGAGGAAGAAGAAGAAAAAGAAGAGGAGGAGGAGTTGGATGAGGTGGTGAGGATCATGAGGGCGAGCATCGCCCTCCTGATCCTCACCCTCCTCATCCTCACCCGCGGCACCACTGATTCCCGCTCGTTTTCTTCTCGCCCACAAACATTCGCTTTTCATCGCTTCGCTCATTCCGCCGGCCCATAATGTCGCACCGTGGTCGCCTGTCCGAGTGGTCGTTTGCAGTGTGGAGTTGCGGCGTCGGGAGCTGTGTAGTTGTCGATAAATGTGTTACTGATTTTTCGTGGGGCTTCTAGGTGATTGCAGTTTTTGTTTGATGGCTTTGGTGCCATCGTGGGGGCGCGTTACCCGTGGTATCCCGCTGTGGGGCCGTTCGAGCCGGGGGAAGAGACATCTTATGCGATAGGGCAACCCTCGTGTCGGAGGCTGGCGGGCTGTGAATGCTAACGTTGGCTCTGTTATCGGCCTGATGTCCTCTGGCGTTGCGGACACGGGCGTGAAAGAGCGCTTTCTCGTGGCGTTTCTCTTACCATATCTTTTCAATTGGACCGGAGGAGGAGGAGGAGGACGACGACGACGACGACGACGAGGAGGAGGAGGAGGAAGAGGAGGAGGAGGAGGAAGGAGGAGGGGGATGAGGAGCGATGAGGAGCGCCTTTGTCGTCGCCGTCGTCGTCGCCGCCGCCGCCGCCCGTCGCCGCCGCCGCCCGCCGGCGTCGTCGTCGTCGTCGTGGAGGGTCGAGGCTCGAGGCTGGAGGCCGAACGCGGGGGAGGAGGACCACCCCGACCCGCGTTTCCCAAGTCGCGTCTGGCTGGAGTCTTGGAGGCGTCCTGGGGGCCTCCCGAGGGTTTTCTGGAGGCCTCCAGAGGGCCTTTTGGAGGCCTCTTGAGGCCTCTTGAGGGCCTCTTGGGGGCCTTTGGGGGCCTTTGAGGGCGTCTTGGGGCCTCCAGGGGGCCTCTAAGGGCCGAGAGCTCGAAATTATGTTTCGTGAGCCCCCTCTTGGGGCGTTCTTGAAGCGTTCTTGGGGCCCTCTTGGGCCGTCTTGGAGGCCTCTTGGGCCGTCTTGGAGCCGTCTTGGGCCATCTTGGAGCCCTCTTGGGGGCCTCTTGGGCCCTCTTGGGGCGATCTTGGAGGCCTCTTGAGCCGTTCAGGGGCGTCGGGGAACCGAAAAGGTTGAAACGCCCAAATCTGCCCAAAACCTAAGAAAAAAGCATTGATGTTTGCCTCTTGGGGCCCTCTTGGGAATGCACTTGGGGACCTCCTGGGGATCTTGGAGGCTTGTTGGGTCATCTTGGAGACCTCTTGGGCCGTCTGGAGGCCATCTTGGGCGTCGTGGAGCGATCTTCGGGCGTCTCGGACCTCTCTTGGACCGTGTTGGGGGCGTTCTTGGGGCCCTCTTGGGCCGTCCTGGAGGCCTCTGGGCCCGTCTTGGAGCCGTCTTGGGCCGTCTTTGGGCCCTCTTGGCGGCCTCTTGGGCCCTTGGGGCGATCTTGGAGGCCTCTTGAGCCGTTTAGGGGCGTCGGGGAACCAAAAAGGTTAAAACGCCCAAATCTGTCCAAAACCAAAGGAAAAGCACAGCTGTTTGCCTCTTGGGGCCCTCTTGGGAGTTCTCTTGGAGGCCTCTTGGGGCATCTTGGAGGCTTCTTGGGCCATCTTGGAGACGTCTTGGGCCGTGTGGAGGCCATCTTGGGCGCCGTGGAGCGATCTTCGGGCGTCTCGGACCTCTCTTGGACCGTGTTTGGGGCGTTCTTGGGGCCCTCTTGGGCCGTCTTGGAGGCCTCTGGGGCCGTCTTGGAGCCGTCTTGGGCCGTCTTGGGGCCCTCTTGGGCCCTCTTGGGGCGATCTTGGAGGCCTCTTGAGCCGTTCAGGGGCGTCGGGGAACCGAAAAGGTTGAAACGCCCAAATCTGCCCAAAACCTAAGAAGAAAAGCATTGATTTTTGCCTCTTGGGGCCCTCTTGGGAGTGCTCCTGGAGGCCTCTTGGGGCATCTTGGAGGCTTGTTGGGTCATCTTGGAGACCTCTTGGGCCGTCTGGAGGCCATCTTGGGCGCCGTGGAGCGATCTTAGGCGTCTCGGACCTCTCTTGGATTGTGTTGGGGGCCTCTTGGGGCGATCCTGGAGGATCTGGGGGAGTGTCCCGGGCGTGTCCCGGGCTCAGCCCGGGGTACTTTTGATCCAGGGACCCCCAGGGGCCGCCCCGCGCGCGCGAACCAGAAATACTGTTTACCAGTCACCGGAGATCTTAGCACGCCTCTGGCCCGTTGGGCCGGCGAATCTATATGTACAAGGCTGCATTGGTGCTTCGCGCCATGCACCTTGGCCCTGAGGCTTGGTATACAGGCGGAATGGCAGGAAGGTCAAGCCGACAATTTAGCAATAACGTATTGTTGCATGTTCCAGCATCACCGTTATAATAATGTCATTCGTTTTCATTCCTCCATGTTTCTTGTTCCTCATTCTTGCCATACCCTGCGTATGCTCCCCATCCTCCTCAGCTCTTTTTGCGGAGGCTCCTCTTTAAAGAGCCTCTGGGGGCCTCACAAACGTGGTCATGCTTTCTTAAGGCCTTCTGGAGGTGTCCTGGGCGTCTTCTGGGGCCTCTGGGGGCTTTCTCGGGCCACCCTGCCCCCAACCGCGGTCTCCCTGAACAACTGGGTCACGAGTTAGAATGCTTCGGAGGGCGTCTTGAGGCCATCTTGAGCATGGGGCTCTCTTCGGCCATCTTGGAACCCTGTTGTGCCGTCTTTGGGCTCTCTTGGGCTGCCTGGAAGCTCTTTCGGGTAGTTGTGGGGCGATTTCCGAGCCTCCCGGGCGGCTTCGGACGCCCAGAAGACCGCCGTCTTCGAGCGTCGGGAAGCCGAAAGAGGAGAACCTCCGAATTCACCCACAGCCAACAGAAAATCAATGAGTTTTGCCTCTTGGGCCCTTCCTGGGAGTGCTCTTGGAGGCCTCTTGGGACGTTTTGGAGCGATCTTTGGGGGTACACCTTAGGCGATGCTTAAGAAAACTTAAGTTTTCGGCCAGAGTCTCGATTATTCTTACTGTTTCAATTTAATTCCTAAGATTTTGATAGAAACGTTGGGTTTTTATTCCAGATCTGAGACGATGAATTTCTTAACCCATGATTTCTAAAGCATTCCGCAGGGTGTATGACAGCTTTTTGGGGGGTCGTCGTGGACCGTCTTGGGGCTCTCTGGGGTCGTTGCGGGAGCGCGCCGGAACGCCTGGAGCCCCCTCTGGGGCCGCCTTCGGTCTCTCGTGGGGTTCTCCAGGGTCGTCCGGAGGGTGGCCGGAGAGGACTGGGTTTGGCCCAATTGGGCGTTGCGTAATAGGGGGGGTCATAAATGGGGGGGTGGCGAGGGTGGTCCGAAAAGGTACCCAAACGGTACCTAAACGAGCCCCCTGGGGCTCTGGAGGGGCCCGAAAGGGGCACGAAAGGGGACCTTTTCTGACCCCCCCATGTGTGACCCCCCCATTAAGCCACGCCCAACTCAAATTCGTTGCGGGGGGGGCGTTTTTTTTCCGGGGTCCCAGGCCCTATGAATAGGAATATGGGATCCCCCGCGCAACCGCAGAGCGGCTGGCTTGCATCTTCAATCGGCAGTATTCAAGCTCGCTGCAGCAGGAGGAGAAGGGCCCACAGAGAGAGGGAGGGAGAGAGACAGAGAGAGAGAGGAAAAACAGCAAAAGGTTTGCACAACAACGAAAACAACAAAACAGTGCCCGCAGGGAAGCGGCACGGTTTTGGGAAGTGTTTAGTATCCCTTGTCCCACGAGGTTCCGGGGGTGGGGGGACAACGGGGAGGGCGGGACCCTGCGTGAAGTGCACTGCGGTGAAACAAAGCGGCTCTGAAGAGGATGGGTAACGTGGAGTAGAAGGACCATTTGGACCTGTGTACGGGCCTTTCTAGAGGAGGGGGGGCGGGATCCACTTCAAAATCTTGTCCGAAGTTGCTTCGAGATACGTCGGAGCCGATCTTGAGCAGGATGGGGAGGAGGATGGTGCTTCTCTAGGGGCTCTTCCTAAGCCTTACCAGGCCTCCTGTAGGCTTCCTGAGGGCCTGATTCGGCGACGCCCAAGTAAAAATGGCCCAGGACAAAAAAACAGTCTGCCGAGAGTTTGAGAGACCTCGTATAGAAAAAGCACGACGTCTGAGGTCTGGGTTTGGCCCCCCAGCGTGGAATCTCGACCCAACTTAGGGGAAACATTGTTCCTGGCCCAAGGCTCCTCGTACTAAGATTTGGGCTCTAGTTGGAGGGCGAGGGTTTAGGGGATGGGGTGATGGGTGCAAGACCGAAGCACCGCATACATGCAAATATAGACACGCGCCGCCCACTGCGGGAGAGAGCGGGGATGTGTGAGCTAACGAACAATGTTAGGGCCATCAACACCTGACACCCGATTAATTGCATGAAAGCAAGACGATGCATTCACAATGAACCTTACTCATTGTTAGAACACCCTGTTTACTTGATGTTCAGCGCTTCATAAGAAGGGGTCCGGCACTGACGCCAGAACTCTGCGCGGACCTCATACACTTGAAGCCTGCGTGCTTCTGCTCGTCTTTCCCTGGCAGCCCGTCTGGAGGTGAGCCCGTCCACGCAGGAGAAGTTGACCGACGGCATCTTTGTGGTCGAGCCCCGCGGCGAGATACCCGTGAAGGGCAAGGGCACCATGTCGACCTCGTTCCTCAACGGCTACGCAGAGGACGGCGGCGCCGAGAGCGTGGGGCCGCGCCGGCCGCGCCAGGCTTCCTCTCTGAACAGCACGTCCGCGTGCACTTTCTCGGATGAGGAGGAGAGGCCCGCGCCGCCGCTCGTCCGGGAGGGCGCTCGCCGCCACGGCTGCGGATTTTCCTCGCAGCCCTGGCAGGAACGCGCCCCAGAATAGGCTCGGGGAGCAGCGGCCTCGGCATCGTTCTGCTCCCCGGGCCCCCAGCCCCTCCGCCGGCGCCGGGCCCCCTCTCGCCACCGCGCTCCCCACATGGGCCTGGGGAGGGGCCCCTGGCGCGGGCGGCGAGGGACGCCGCCCACGGCGGCGTCAGGGGCGTTTCTGCTCTGCCCGCCCCCCCCCCTTCACCCCCGCCTCCCGGCCTGAGAGGTGCTGATCCGCCGCAGCTCCGCCGTGCTCAGCGACGGCCCCGACAGGACGGAGACGTCTGATTCCCTCCTTGGGGCAGGCGCCTGGCGGCGCGACGGCGACCGCGCCGGGGAGGCGGTGGAGCTCCCGGCGCGCTCCGCGCTGCAGACGTGGATGCGGCGGCACCTGCCACGAGGGAAAGCCAGGGGCAGCCTCGGGGAGGGGTGGGCTCAGGAGAGCGGGCGCACCGACCCCCCACCGCCGATGGATCGCCGGCAGGGTCCCGAGCGCCCACCCCGCCTGGGACCGTGCGGATTCGCCCTCGGCAACGTATCTCCGACCTACTGGCGGTGCATCGCCGATTCCAGCTCGATGCTGCCCACCCCCTTGAGCCTGTCCCCCCCTAACGTTCCCCCTCCGAAAGGGGGGGGGCTGAGGATACAGGTCAGACGTGCGCCATCGCTGCCAGGCCAGCTCTGGCCGGCTTCGGGCAGAGGAGGTGCGCATGGCCCTCCAGGGCCGCGCCGGGACGGGGCGTAATTCTGCACCGACTCTGGGCCTGGGCTGGGCTGGGGCGGGCGTATGTGTGCCTTGTGCCGAGGGGGGAAGGAGACCCTGGACCTTGGAGCTTCCCTTACCGGGGCCTTGTAGCGATACGAGGGGGAGGAGGAGGAGGAGGAGGAGGAGGAGGAGGAGGAGGAGGAAGAGGAGGAGGAGGAGGAGGCTTCCCTCACACCAAGCTTTGGGGAGGCCCCAGGCTCCAGGACCCCTTTCCCCTGGCCCCCTCGCCGCCATGGCAAGGCATGTGGTGCCCGACGACAATGCAGAGACGATAAGGCCGGGGGGCGAAAAAGTCAGGAGCATACCGCACTTGTGTCTGAGAGGAAAGCCCGTGAGTTGGGGTTCCAGATCAGGGTCCAGCTCTGCAGAGCAAGACCGGTCAGCATCCTCCTTGTGACCATCACCATCCCCGATAGTTCCCCCTTCCCTCTCCCACTTCCCCATCCCTCCTCCCTCCCGTTCCCTCACGTCCTTCCCTGAGTATCGTCCTCCCCCCCCCCTTCCCCCATTCGTTCCCCCTCCCCCTCCTTGCCCCTGCCTCCCCTGCCTCCCCCTTCCCCCCCTCCCTGCCTCCCCTCCTCCCCCCTTGCCCCCCCGTCCCTTTCCCTCTCTGCCTCCCCTCCCCCCCCCTTGGCCCCTGGACCCTGCCCCTCCAGCCTCGGCTGGCCCCCCGCCCTGGCCCTCCACTTGGGGCTTTGTGTTCCCTCCCTCCCCTCCATGATGCCGCTCCTGCCCCTCCCCTCGGTTCCTCACTTCTCTTCCCTCTTCCTCCGCCTCCCCTCCCCTCCCTCCCTCCCTGCCTCGTCCTCCCCCCTCTAGACAATATCCCGCGCATGGGGACAGAAGGAGGAGGGAGGAAGGACGAGGCAAAGGGAGGACGAGGAGGAGGAGGAGGAGGAGGAGGAGGAGGAGAAAGAGGAGGAACCAAGGAGGAGAAACCAAGGAGGAGGGGGAGGAGGAGAAGAAGAAGGGGAAGGATGAGCAGAAGGAGGAGGAGGAGGAGGAGGAGGAGGAGGAGGAGAAGGGGGGCGCGAGGAGGAGAAGAAGAAGGGGGAGGGGGAGGAGAAGGAAGAGGAGGAGGAGGAGGAGGAGGAGGAGGAGGAGGAGGAGGAGGAGGAGGAGGAGGGGGAGGAGGAGGAGGAGATGACGACGACAACGTCGAGTACGACGACCACGCCGTTGAGGAGTGGGAGGAGAGCGCCCCGACTGAATGGGCGATCCCTGGAGCCAGCCGCCCTGAGCAAGGGAGGCTCGCCCCTCCGAGCTCTCGCACGAGTTGGGCGAGGGCATCGGGGGTGCTCCAGAGCGAAGTGGACGGTCCGGCGCTCCTTCGGGGTGCCCGCCCTCCGTGCGAGGAGGAGGAGGAGGAGGAGGAGGAGGAGGAGGAGGAGGAGGAGGAGAAGGAGGAGGAGGAGGAGGAGGAGGATAATGGGAAGAGGAAAGGGAGGAGGAGGAGGAGGAGGAAGAGGAGGAGGAGGAGGAGGGGGAGGAGGAGCCTCTGGCGCGGCGGGGGACGACCCTGCCGGGGCGCACTCGCGAGGACAGTACTATCCGAAACCACCCTCGGGAACCCGACCCGCTGAAAGCGTCACCCTTCCGCTACAGATGTATGCCCGACAGGACGTCATTGCCAGAACGCAGTACACTCTAGGCGATGCTCAAGAATACCCAAGTTTTCGGCCAGAGTCTCGATTATTCTTAATGTTTCAATGTAAATCCCAAGATTTGAATAGACATTCTGGGCTTTGATTCAAATTCTGAGACAATGAATTTCTTAACCCATGATTTCTAAAGCATTTCGCAGGGTGCAGGTAAATCAGCACGGAAATGCCGCATCGCCGCATGGCCCCAGGGACCCGCAGGAGCTTTGGCACCCTCAAAGATCGACGAAGAGTGTGCTTAGAATATGCCTTATGTCAAGATTATCATCGCACCTGTCTCATGTAGCCGGGAGACATGTGCGTGGCCCAGTGGGTTAGACAACGGCTCAGTTATGTCGTGCGCAACGATGCCCGGGAAGAATTCTCACGAGCGCTTTGCTGCAACATGCGTTCACTCAAACAGCGGGTGCCACACTGCACAGCGCCAGCGCCTGCCAATCTTTACCGCCTGCGGCACCTCATGGGCCAAATCTCGGAAGCGGGAGCGGGCAACCGACGATGTGGTGGATGATGCCTGGAGTGAGATTCTCGAGACTCGTGACTCGGGCCCAGGGACGACGGCGCCGCCCCAGTCAAAAGCTCGAGAGCATCGTGACGCTCGGGCCCAGCCACACATTGTCCAGACACAGCGCCTGCACTTAGGGGTTCTTGCGCTGCTGTTACCTACTTTGATGGCAGGGTGTGCCGAGGTTTAGCCAGGTTGCCGCCCGTGGGCGCCTCGTGGGCGCACTGAGTTTCGGTATCGTTTAACCGATCCCCATCCCCATCTCCATCCCCTTCGAGACCCCCACCAAATTACCCCCCCAGTTGGGGATACACCCCTCGAAACCCGAAGGGAACGGCCTATATCCCCATCTAGGGGGGTTAATCGGCCAGTGGGGCCCAGGCCACGCCGCTGGGGATGGGGGTCGGATAAACGATGCTCAGAGCTGAGTGCTGGATAGATGTGCCGAGGTTTCGCCACCGTGCCGCCCGTGAGCGCCTCACGCGCCGGGTTGGTCTGCCGAGGCTTCGTCTGCTGCCCGGTCGGTGCCCCTGTCGTGGCGTGTCGTGGCCGCCTCGTGCGCTGGGCGGCCGCATCGCGTGCATCACACAGCTTGCACGGCGTGGGCTGCACCACCACAGCTTGCACCACGCAGGGTCCACCACAGCCTGGCTTTCACCACATAGCCCAGCCGCCGCAGCCCGCATCTTGGTGCTGTGTTGTTGTTGTTGTTGTTGCTGTTGTTGTTGTTGCTGTTGTTGTTGCTGTTGCTGTTGCCGTTGCTGTTGTTGTTGCTGCTGCTGTTGTTGCTGTTGTTGTTAGTGGTTGTGGTGGTGGTGGTCGTGGTCGTGGTCGTGGTCGTGGTCGTGGTCGTGGTGGTGGTGGTAGTGTTGTACCGTCTGTCTCTCCCAGGCCCAGGGTCTCCACACGAGTTTGCCTGTTGCAGGTCGGATTGTGTGGCGTTCCGGGTTTGCTCGGCGACTTTCTGATTCGCACGGAGGTCATACATAGCCGACGCGTCGAACTCTGGTGGTCGCGTTCCCTCCTCCTCTGTCAACAAAAGAAGCCCAGCCGCCGCAGACTGCAGCTGACGGACCAGGGCTGCGATGGAAGAGGTTTGTGTAAGGGTGAGAGGGAGGAAGACGAGGAGCAAGCGAGCGAGCGGTGCCAGAGACATGGGGGTGCCAGTGTCCTCTTGGGCAGGGTGCGTAATGACGAAGCCTCATACCTTGTACACAGACGGCGTGGATGAAGCAGCACACGGACTGGTAATCTCCAAGCTGTGGCGGAGCTAGCATAGGAGAAGGCTTAGGGGTGCCCTAAGATCCGACTTCACGGCAAAAATGCAACATCGCGAACAATCACGGCCGGAGCCCTAGACCCCATCTTTTTTCTGTATTTTTCGAGCGGGATCGATCCGTGATGATCCCAGGGCCCGAGACAAGGCAACATCGCCCGTCGTGGACAACAATTGCAACGGTTGAGCATCAGGGTGGAATGGAGAGGAGAACGAGAACGAGAGCGAGAGACTCGACCTACCTAGTCGGTTTCAATGGATTGCCAAGTCCTTTTCTGGGCTTGCTCAGCTTTGCTACTTCCGCAGGCCGAAAGATTTTCCTCTTGAGCCCCACTTGTCATCATCTTGCCTTTTTCCCTCATCCTTCCCTTCTTCATTCTGGGAAGACCCCCTCCCCCGTAGAATCATAGCATTGGTCTGCAGATCCACAGCTCCGTGGATACTGGGGGCGTAGCATGGTGCTTCACTTGCGGTGCTCCGCGGATCCAATTTCCCCTGGGTCCAGATATCAATTACTATTATATATCTATTCCCGGGAAATAAATGGATTCATCGTTTTTCACACACACACACAGACAGGAAATTGGATCCGCGCAGCACAGAAATAGGATCCACGAAACTCTCCCACACCCGAAAAGGGATCCAATTGGATCCGCTGGTGTTCTCATATTTTTAGTCCAAGAGGAAAGAACTTTCGGCCTGGGGATGTAAGCAGCTTGGGCCACATCCCCATCTCCTGGCGGGAAAGCCACTCCTGCCTCTGTGGGGGGTCTACGGTCGAGCATGTCAGTAAGACATTTCCTGTCGAGAAGTTGGGCGGACGTGTCTTGCCAGACAGCTGGCCCAGCTTCTTAAGCACGTTCGCCTTCCAGCGTCAACACTAAAGTTTGGCTCTTGGCTGTCTTAAGAACAGTTCTGGACGGCTTGCCCAGGTTTCTGAATTGATGAGTTTCTTTACCATCAGTTCGGCTGTACGCTACTTACACATGGATGGCGAAAAGGAGGAGGAGGAGGAGGAGGAGGAGGAAGATGAGGAGGTGGAGGAGGAGGAAGAGGAAGAGGAGGAGGAGGAGGACGGAGACGAGGTCCCACCTCCGGAGGCAGAGACCTGGCAGGGCCGCCCTGTCCCGGAAGCTGTCTGGCATTGACCAGCTGCTCCTGCTGGCCTCCGACAGGCACAAGCAGCCCGACCGCCTCGCGCTGCTGCAGAAGGATCCCCGCCCCCCTTGCAGTCGAGGCTCGAGCATCGAGGCTTTCAAGTCTACATAGGTTCGCAACGAGTTTTCTTCCTCCCCCTCCTCCTGTCAGCACTGCGCCGTGACCGTGCGCGCGCCCGCCGCCCTGAAGGTGGCTAGAGGCGACCACCGCAGGTTTGTTTTCCCCTCGGCCTCGGTTTCCTCGATGAAGGAAATCGGCGTAATGTTGACCGTTTTTGGCCCACTCTGGGCCCTCACCTGTCTTCGGGACACTCATACAAGTACGTAGGGTGTAAATCCTGTCGCTGGGAAGGGGTCCAGACACTCTGGGGAGCCACGCGGTGAAAAAAATACGAATAACATGACAATACGAATCACATGACATCGGGGGGTTGGGCCCCTTCTTGTTTTCACAATCAATCGAAGCATGAAAGACTGCATAAACATAAACTTGAGGAGCTCCGCGCGGATTTCTCGGATTGGCGTTGGGCTCCCTTGGCGTCGCCTCCAGCGCCGCCCCTGGCGCACTTCGCGCGCCAGGCAGGGGGGCCCATTGTTGATCAAGGAACTCCGCGCAGACCTCCGAAAGTTTGTGTTCTTCCCGTTTTCGGCTCCTCATGTCTGCCTATGTTTCCAGCCTTCCCCGGGGGGGCAGATGCTGCCGCGGAGCTCCCCAGAGCTCCGAGCAGGCCTCTGGAGGTCTTCCTGGAGACTCGTGGGACCGTCGGGGGCCCTCGGCGGTCCCTGGGCAGCCCTGAAGCGCCCCTCGGGCGGCGCGAGGACCAAAGTCGTCGTGGAGGATCGAGGTTCAAGGTTTCAGAACGTTCCTGGGCACTGGGCATCCAGGGGTCAGGGGTGCCCGCGTGGCCACCGTCGGATCCACCTCCAAATCCTGGTCAGATCCGCGCTCCAGGAGACAGAGTTACAGGGATCGCCGTGGTTGTAGTTGTTTTCGTCCTCGCAAGTGGTTTTCAGAGTTCGTGGCCCCGGGAGCGTGGATCGGTCGTTTTAGCCCACATCTTGAATGGGATGAATATTTCTCTAGGCTCTGGCAAGAACCTTCTCCTTCTCCTCATCCTTCTCCTCACCTTGCCCGTCCTCTCCCTCCTCCTTGTCCTCCTCTCTCTCGTTCTCTCTCGTTCTCTCGCACTCTCTCACAGGGCTTTGAAATTACGGAGCCATAGAAGCAGATGAATATGAAGCTGGAAATGGGAAATGTAAAGAAAGTTGGGGCTGGATATACATCTGACATTTGTTCGGGGAAAGAGACCCTACAACACGTCCAGGATTGCATGCGTCCTGGTTCGGGAGGTGGTGGGGGAGGAGCTGGAGGAACGGAAGGGAGTCACGGCGCAGTGGTTGCAGCATGGCAGCCAGCAGGCATTGTGTCGTAGCCAAGAGTCGCCCAGAGGATTTGCCTCGGTACCTCGACGACATGCTCCCGGTGCGGGTGTACAACGCGCGGGTCCTCACCATTGGGTGGCTGCTGATCGTGACCGTGATCTCGGTCGTGGATTATTTTCTGCAGGAGAGCTCGAAAGCAACAGGGACAAGCACGTGAATAGACAACAAACGCGCAGCAATAACAAAACAAAACATACACATTCCCCAAACAGTGCCTGCAACTAGGGGATCTTTTGTCTCTCTTCCAGGGAGCTGGGCCCGGTTGTCAGTCCGGCCCGCTCGTGGCGCCCGTCGCCGCCCGTGGCCGCAGTCTTTGGCCACGATGTTGATTGTTCGAGGTTCGCACTTCCCATTGTTGCGCATTGCTTTACATGTATTCGCACTGCAATGCTTTGCATCGATTCGCATTACATTGCTCTGCATTGAATTACATTGCTTTGCGTTGATTTGAACGGGTTTACATTGCGTCGCGTTGCATTGTGTTGCACTGCTTTGCACTGCATTTCTTTGTATTGCTTCGCAATGCTGTGCATGTGTTTGCATTGCATTGCGTTGCATGGCGTTGCAATCGCATTGCCGTGCTTTGCATTGTTTCGCATTGCTTTGCAATCGCATTGCACTTCTTTTGCATTGAGTTGCGTTGCGTTGCATTTGTTTGCATCGCAGCACATTGCTTTGCATTGCGTTGCATGGAATTGCAATGAAATTGCAATGGCACTGCACTGCATTGTTTTGCATTGCTTCGCATTACTTAGCAATCGAATGTCGCTGCTTTGCGTTATTTTGCCTTGCGTTGCTTCCCATTGCAATGCGTTGATTTGCACAACAAAGACTGCAACACATGGACTGGACCAACCAGATTGCACCGTTCTACTTGCACCACCTAGATTGCACCGCATAGACTGTAGGATGTCACCGGTTAGGGGTCTACGCTGGCTTACATGTGTATATATACACAACTTTCTGCAGGAGGGCTCGCGGCAGGCCCTCGAGACCATGCTGGTCCGGTCCGTGTGCAACGACGTGGTGGGCTTGCTGTACCTCCTCCTCACCGCGAGCGAGGACCACGATGCGCGGTGGGTGCAGGCGTGGACCATCATCATGCTGCTGATACAGGTGTCCGCCCCCTCTTTTCCTCACCATAAAGTCAGAGGAGGAAAAGGTACGGATAGCGCTACCCTTTTCGTGTTAACAAACCCTGTTGGGCTTCCTGGGAGGCCCTCGTCGCCGCGGCTGGATTCGCTTCGAAATTCTTGCTAGAAAGCACCCCAGGAGAGATTTGGCGAGTAGCGGTATCGGTATCTTCTATTACCGTGAATCGAAAAACATTATAAGTACAAGATTTCGGAGGTCCACGCGGATTTCTCTTCGCCGTCAAAGGAGCCCATGGCCGATCCAAGAAATCCGCGCGGACCTCCGAAAGTTATCCAAACAGTGCTTGCATTTACCCGTCAGTCGTTGGAAGTAGGTATTTTTGGGCACCGGGATCCCAACCTGCTCCAGGCGCCTTCCTACTTCAGTCATGGACTGCTGTTTCCTTCTCCTTCCTCTTCGCAGGGCGGGCGGAAGCCCAATCTGCTCCCAAAGCCTTCCTACTTCCTGTTTCTGCCCAGTTCTTCCGACCGGCGGGTGGGGGTCCTTACTCTTGGCATCGCTCGGACGTGTGCATTTTTTTCTCGGCGGGGACCATCGAGGACCATCCTGGACCATCGAGCAAGAGAAACACGCACGAAAACAAAAATGCACGGAAAATGGACGTCCGAGCGATGCCGAGTATTTCTTCCAGAAGGCAAATTGGGCCTTGGCGTCGGTCCGGCCGGCTTGTGGCCGCCCGTCGCCACCGCCCATCGCCGCACCATTCTGGTCACGGTCCTGGCTCTGCGCCAGGCTCGCAGCTGGGCTTGTACGCCGCGTGGCCGTCTCGTGGGCCGCCCGTCGGCGCCCCCCGCCGCTGCAATTCTAGACGCTTCGCGTCCCTTCAGCCACCCACCTGAGGCCTCGGCCGGCGCGTAGCTGTTGCCTCGCGCTTTGCCCCTGCTGAAAATGTCCCGCGCTTCCTCTGCCCAACTAGTCTCTGCGCAGCCCGCTTTGACCCGACTCGCTTGCAGGCGCGCTCGCCCCGCGGCCGCTGACTAAAAAGTATCCCCACCGGCAGGTCGCGCGCCGGCAATTAGTTCCGCTCGTAGCCCGAGCTGGCTTGACTCGCCGCTGGCGCCTTCGCCTGCGGCTGCGACGGGAAAGTATCCCCACCAGCCCATCCAGAAGCGATGTCCAGACGAGTTGAGGTGATCAGGGAAGTGCACGAGCAAAGAGGTGGACGGCCGAACCGTGCGAAGGAAGGAGGAGGGGAAGGAGGAGGCTGGATTGAAGGATGAGGGAATGGGGAGAAGGAAGATGAATAGGATGATGAGGAGGAGGAGGAGGAGGAGGAGGAGGAGGAAGAGAAGGAGTAGGAGGAGGAATCAAGCTAGCCAGCTCGAGCGAGTCAAGCATGGCATGCCCAGTCCCACCCGCCCTCCCACAACATAAGAAGCAAAGCTGGCACAACTGGGGGCCGAAGTCACACCGGCCAGCCGGTTTGGTACAGCTGATGCGGCCGCGATGGCGGTTGCCGACGGGAACTGGCGAGCGCGTGTTGAATGCCGCGCACGCATTGCCAGACGAGTCGAGAATGGCCCGGTACACCGCAGGAAGCCAGAGGTGGCCGGAGGAAGCCCGACGGTCTGACAGGACACCCCAAAGCATTTTTGTGAAAAAGCATTGGGTTTTTGATGTTTTTATGTTGAAATGCTTGCAAACACACGGTGTTCGGTAGGATTCTGACATGAACGCGCGAGTGTGCTCTTTGTGGCATTTTTTGCGCAGGATTCGCGGCCTGGGTGCATGACAGAGCATCGCGAGTGCACCGCGCGATGACGTGAAATCGCTGGATTTGACAGAATTCTTAAGATTCCTATGGTTTTCCTATGATTTCAGCAAGAGAGCCCGGGCGGGAAATTTGTACAATTTTTGTGAAAAAAGCATTGGGTTTTTGATGTTTTTATGTTGAAATGCTTGCAAACACACGGTGTTCGGTAGGATTCTGACATGAACGCGCGCGTGTGCTCTTTGTGGTGTTTTTTGCCATGGATTATCGCCGTGGACGACAGGACGTCCATGTCGAGAGGAAAAATAAGAAAAATATTGATTTTGTACGTTTTTTTTACAGGTTAGGATGGGACCACCCGGATGCGCCCGCTATCTGCCGGCCTGAGGGGGGAGGAGGAGTATATTCTAATAAGGAATAAGGATGGGGGAGCAGGAGGAGGAAGAGGGCAAGCAAAAGGGCTAGAGGTCTCTTGGATGTCTTTCGCAGCCTTTTGGGATATCTCTCAGGCGTTTCTTGGAGGCCTCTTGGGACGTCTTAGGCATCTCTCGGCGGTCCTGGGGGGCTCTTGGGCGTTTTGGGTGCCTCGGGGGGCCTCGGGGGGCCGCTTGGGGGCCTCCTGGGGGCCTCTTGGGGCCATCTTGGAGGCATCTTGGGGCCATATTGGGGCCTCTTCGGGCCTCCTGGGCGCCTCTTGGGGCCATCTTGGAGGAGATGGATCAAAGAAGGGAATGGTCGCAATTCGCGTTGCCCCTCGGGAGCCCCCAAAAATGCCCAAATGGGGCCAAAACCCTAGTCAAACCAATGATTTGGGCTTCCTCGTCAAGGCCGTTTTGGACGCTCCAACGACCCGCGAAACGCCCCGTCCAGGTCCAGGGGAGGGGGTAAGGGGGAGGGGTGAACCCCTCCCCGAAGGGGAAGAGGGAGGGGTGGACGAGTAAACGCCCTAAACCACCTACGCCCAGAGGCCTGGTAGGATTTTCGTCACGATTCAGATTGCACCACGTAGCTGACATCACATCTAAAGCACCACATACATTCTCCGATCTAAACAGAAATTAGGATCTACCACCCACCCACCCACCCGTGAATTATCGGGACTCGTGGGACAGTGCTATGTTATGATTGATGTTGCCCCAACGTTTATCTTAAGTATGAATTCGCACCATCCCAGCCCAGCCATTAACCACCGTCCTCGTCAAACTATACTACGCACGCAAACGCGTCAATCAACCATCAGTAGTTTTCGAAGATTTCCTTGAGAAAAGATTCCGCGCGGCGTCGCGCGAGCGTGTTGAAATTCTTATGAAACCGTCGGGGTCGCAAATATTTCAAGATTAACGTTCCCGGGCACATATGTTTCATGGTGTTGCAATCTAAGTATTCAAACAAGAGTTGCGCACACTATCGTTTGAATCCCGATGGAAATCTGGAAGTTTCCAACTTCGGCATCAAATCCGACCAAGCGGGCCTCTCGCGCGCGCATGTCGAAATCATTCGGGCGCCTTGGCGCGCTTGCTGGGGGGCGCGAGCCCTGTCAACGAATACAATGCAGGCCACTCGCGCCCATCGGCCGCGTGCGCAGGGCCGAAAACCTTCCAACACGTTCATCACCGACGCGTGGAGACCATTATCGCCATCGGCGTGATCAGCACCGGCGCCGTAATTGGCCTTGCCGTCGTGAGCGTCATCATCGCCAATGAACGCCGCCACTATCATCATCGTGCCTGTTGCTGTCGGCGTCGCCATGCTACCGCGCCCGCCCGAGTCACCGACTCGCACTGAAGTGCCCGCTTGTCCGCGCGGCATGTGGGACGCGCTGGGGCACCCCTTGCAGTCAGCGGCAGCGTTGGTCGCGCCAGGTTAGATGGCTGCTCTGCGCGCGAGCCTGCGCGCGCCAGCGCGGCCGCAGCGATGCGCCAGCCATCGCCAAGCTTCATCGTAATCGCCGCATGGGGCTTGCAGTCCAAAGTGCGGGTGGGTGGGTGGGATGATTGCGCGAGCAGCGGAGGTCACAACTCACCACATTGTTTGCCCCACAGAGGTGGCACTACATTTGTAGCTCACACCACATATATTGTACCACGCCGCGCGCGCCACGTAGATTGCACGACGTAAATTGCACCATGTAGATCGCAACACATACATTGCATCACGCAACGTACAATACATAGCTTGTACCACGCAGGTCGAACCACATATATTACTGAACGTATAGTGCACAACGTAGCGTGCACCACATCGATTGCACCACGTAGGTTGCACCACTTATGTCGCACCATCTGCTACATTTATGACACACCAGATAGCTAACACCACATAGCTCACACCACGTAGATTGCATTGCAGATGCTGCACGGTTTTAGCTTGCACCACATATACTGATTGACTGGACATATTGCACCACCTAGATTACCTTTCGTATGTTCTCCTTTCTAAAAAGAGAACAAACTCTAACCCCCCCCGGCGTTATCCGCACCCCTTCTGACCACCTGTCCATCCTGAATATGAATTTACACTATCCCCGAGGGGCCGGTGTCGTTCCCCCGGAGGTTCCCTTGTGCAAAAGAATACGCGGGGACATTTTTTGTTCTAACATAAGACTTTGTCGCGAATCCCTTGCAACAAATGGGATGAAGTGCACACGCGCGCGTCGTCGCGCGCGCATGCCGAAATCCTTCAGAAACCTTCGGTGTCGGAAGGATTTCGCAATCAAGCTTCCAAAGAACATACAACAAACATGGTTTCGCAACACTGCTTTGCTAAAAAAAGCTTACGCGCAAACTGTTTGCGAAATCTTAAGGAAACCATCGGTTTTTCAAGATTTTCACAAAATGCTACCAATTGGGCTTCGCGCGAGCGCATGTCGAAATCTGTCGAACGCCCTTGCGCGTGTGCCGTCGCGAGAGTCCTCTGCAAAAAATAGGACGAAGTACAGACGCGCGCGTCGTCGCGCGCGTATGCCGAAATCCTTCAAAACCCATCGGTTTCGGAAGGGTTTCGCAACAAGGATTTTCAATAAAAGCGTGCGCGCGCGCTCTTGCATCGTCGTCGTCGTCGTCGCCGTCCTCCCTCCTCACGCGTCGTCGTCGTCGTCGCCTACGTCGTCCTCTGTCTTTCCTCGTGTTCGTCGTCGTCGTCCTCTTTGGCGTCGTGGTCGTTTCCGTCGTCGTTGTCGCCGTGGTCGTCCTTCCTCCTCCTCCCTTGTCGTCGTCGTCGTCCGTCGTCGGCGTCTCGTCGTCGTCCCTCCTATTTCGTCGCCGTCGTCGTCGTCGTCGTCGTTGTCGTCGTCGTCTTCCCTCCTCCCTCGTCGTTGTCGTCGTCGGCGTCGCCGTCCTCCTCCTTCTTCGTCGTTCGCGTCGTCGCCGTCCTCCCTCCTCCCTCGTCGTTGTCGTCGTTGTCGTCGTTGTCGCCTTTGTCGTCCTCCCTCCTCCCTCGTCGTCGTCTTCGTTGGCGACGTCGTCGTCGTCTTCGTCGTCGTCGGCGTCGGCGTCGGCGTCGTCTTCGTCGTCGTCGACGTCGGCGTCGTCGTCGTCGCCGCCGTCGTCGTCGTCGTCGTCGTCGGCGTCGTCGTCGCCGGCGTCGTTGACGTCGTCGGCGTCTTCGTCGTCGTCGTCGTTGTCGTCGTCGTCGGCGTCGTCATCGTCGGCGTTGTCATCATCGTCGTCGTCGTCGTCGGCGTCGGCGTCGTCGTCGTCGGTGTCGTCGTCGTCGTCGTCGTCGTTGTCGGCGTCGTCGAAGTCGTTGGAGACGTCGTCGGTGTCGTCGTAGTCGTTGTCGGCGGCGTCGTCGTCGTCGTCGATGTCGTCGTCGGCGTCGCTGCCGTTGCCAAGTGCCATTTGGTACCCACCGTCACGGTCTTAAAAGATTTTGCTAACCAAGTTGCGGGTGGGTGGGTGGGATGTTTGCACGAGCAGTGGAGGTGTCCAAGCGCGGTGCAGGGTAGTCATTTACACCACATAGATCTCACTTCTGGAGTGCACCACATCGCTTGCACGACACAGCCCACACCCCATAGGTCATATCACATATATGGCACGACATATACTACACCAGTTAGACTGCACCACGTAGCTGGGTACGTTTGGTCCTATAACATGACATTCCGTTTTTTAGAAAGAGAATTCGGATTTTCCCCCGCCCGGATTTATGTCCTTCCCCATTCCCCTCGCATTGTAATTTGCATAAGATGTTGCCCCATCGTCCATCCTCAGTTCTAGCCCGTACCATCCCAACCAAATTGGGTTCGACCCCCCCGCCACCATCTGCATTACATATTCTTATTCGCTCGCACTCATTGATAAAAAACGATCAGATGCCAAAAATACCGTTCAAAAGACGATGTGCACACGCGCGCGCACCCCGAAATCTTTCAAAAACCCCAGTCCCCGAGAGAATATCAAAATCGAGCGCCCCGAAAACGTATAAAAAACACATGGTTTTGCAAGTTTTCCTCAGTTTGCGGATCAATTGTGTTGACATCCCACGAGCGTTGACGCCCCAGCTGCTCATATCACGCCTGCTAGGGGCAACCTCAAAAGGCAGTGAAAGCGCCAAACTACCAGAAGAAAACCACTTAGACCTTCCCAAACATGTACATCACTACGGGTGTAGGGCTTTTGATACGTAATCGTACCTGCTTCCACGACAATGTCCAGCCTGAGGAAGACAACAAACCCCGATGGAAAGTAGACGTAGCCACCGGCGCACGATGAAGAAAACGAGCAGGATAATGACGAACACGCAGACCGCGAAGTCAGACAGTGCCACCTCGCACGCGCATGTACACGCCCGAAAGGAATGAAGGAAATGAAGGGGTGAATTTTGACACGCCGTCGCTCATAGGAGACAACTCGATGTCAAGGAGTATTATGTCTTGCGGGTGATGGAATCAGCGGAAGCTGACAGAGAAATCAACTCTTCTTGACAAAAAGGCAATCCGCAAATTGCGGCCACGTCGCATCGTAATACACACAACACAGAATCCAACACACAGGCTGGCATGCAGCACCATCTTGGAACTCGCAGCGCACTGCGGTGAGTTTTGCTGCACCCCGCCGCGTGCCGCAGCACCTGCGAGTCAGACAGGAGTGGCAAGACGGGCCCGAAGGGGAAAGAGCACGACTTCTGACCAGACCTCGATTGGAACGCACCACAGTCTCGGACCCGTCCCTTTCTAGAACGTGTGCGTGCAAGCAAGTAAGTGTGTGTGCGCGTGTGTGTCTTAGTGCCGATTTGTGCGAAAGTAAGTGTAAATGTAAGAAGCGTGCGTGTAAGTGAGCCTACGTGTGAGCATGAGTGTGAGTAGTAGTGCGTGGAAGTGCGTGTGTAGGTGAGGGCAAGTGCGTGTAAGTGTGTAAGTAAGTAAGTGTGTGTGTGAGTGTGAGTGTGTATGTGCGTTTGTCTGTGAGTGCATGTGTGTTGTTGTGTGTGTGTGTGTGTTTTGTGCGTGGTGTGTGTGTGTGTCTGTGCGC